TGCTAAATATAATGATAGCAGTTAATTTGTTATTTGATCAGCACAATTTAACTGATAACTGATATTATTTAACAGTGAACAATGGATAGGAAGTTTCATAAATTTGGAAAAGAAAATTGCCAATTATTCAAAAAAAAATTGTTATAATTCTTATCCTAACAAAATTGTGTATAAATATTTGTTTTAACTACTGTAGAATACTTTATTTTCGTTTGGAATTTATTTTCGCTGGTTTCGCCGAAGGGATTATTTCGTGAAAATAAAATCCAGCAAATATACTTTTTTTCCTATATTTCACATTAAACTCATTAAAAATCAGTGAAAATAAATTCCATACAAAACGCCCAAAATGCCTTTTCAGCGAAAATTGATTCCAGCGAAAATAAAGTATTCCACAGTAATTAAGGAAGAGTCTGAATTACTGATTTGCTCTATTTGCAGCACTTGTGTAGATTACAGTTGTGTGTCAACATTCAAAGTAAATATTATGACTCAGTATACAATGAAATTTTCAGTTTATATGCACTTCTATTTGAGACGTGCTTCTAATAGAGCAAATACAGTATATCACATTTTCAGTAAATATTGTAGAATACTTTATTTTAGCTGGAATTAATTTTCGCTGAAAAGACATTTTGGGTATTTTGTATGCAATTTATTTTCACTGATTTTTGACATTTGAATGTAAAATAAAGGAATAAAGGTATATTCGCTGGATTTTATTTTCACTGACTCATTCCTTAAGCGAAAATAAATCCAAGCGAAAATAAAGTGAGTATGTGGACCAAGTTTTGATTTTGATTTTGATAAGTGGTTTATATATGCTATTATTACAATGAACATGCTATTCTTATCTGTGATAACATCATGAATGCAAGATCTTCAGCTGATTGTGGAGCTCTGTAACATTTAACATAACATGGATTGTTAAATAATGATTTTGTGATTTTAGCTTAAAGTGACCAAGAATGTGTGCACCAGTAGATTCAGCAAAGAAAAGTGTTAGATGATGTACTCAGAGAGGACACTATTATATAATGTATTCTAGTTTGCAATTGCAATCAGCTAATCAGTTTTAGAGAAGACAGTATAGTATCGAATAATGCCCTCTAGTTTGTAATCAGCTAATCAGTTTTAGAGAAGACAGTATAGTATCGGATAATGCCCTCTAGTTTGTAATCAGCTAATCAGTTTTAGAGAAGACAGTATAGTATCGAATAATGCCCTCTAGTTTGTAATCAGCTAATCAGTTTTAGAGAAGACAGTATCGGATAATGCCCTCTAGTTTGTAATCAGCTAATCAGTTTTAGAGAAGACAGTATAGTATCGAATAATGCCCTCTAGTTTGTAATCAGCTAATCAGTTTCAGAGAAGACAGTACAGTATCGAATAATGTACTTGTTTGCAATCAGCTAATCAGTTTCAGAGAAGACAGTATAGTATTGGATAATGCCCTCTAGTTTGTAATCAGCTAATCAGTTTTAGAGAAGACAGTATCGAATAATGCCCTCTAGTTTGTAATCAGCTAATCAGTTTTAGAGAAAACAGTATAGTATCGAATAATGCCCTCTAGTTTGTAATCAGCTAATCAGTTTCAGAGAAGACAGTACAGTATCGAATAATATACTCGTTTGCAATCAGCTAATCAGTTTCAGAGAAGACAGTATAGTATTGGATAATGCCCTCTAGTTTGTAATCAGCTAATCAGTTTCAGAGAAGACAGTATAGTATTGGATAATGCCCTCTAGTTTATAATCAGTTTCAGAGAAGACAGTATAGTATTGGATAATGCCCTCTAGTTTGCAATCAGCTAATCAGTTACAGAGAAGACAGTATAGGATTGGATAATGCCCTCTAGTTTGTAATCAGCTAATCAGTTACAGAGAAGACAGTATAGTATTGGATAATGTACTAGTTTGTAATCAGCTAATCAGTTTCAGAGAAGACAGTATAGTATTGGATAATGCCCTCTAGTTTGTAATCAGCTAATCAGTTACAGAGAAGACAGTATAGTATTGGATAATGTACTAGTTTGTAATCGGCTAATCAGTTTCAGAGAAGACAGTATAGTATCGGATAATGCCCTCTAGTTTGTAATCAACTAATCAGTTTCAGAGAAGACAGTATAGTATTGGATAATGCCCTCTTAGTTTGTAATCAGCTAATCAGTTTCAGAGAAGACAGTATAGTATCGAATAATGTACTCGTTTGCAATCAGCGAATCACTTTCATAGACAGTATAGTATCGGATAATGTACTTGTTTGCAATCAGCAAATCAGTTTTAGAGAAGACACTATAGTATTAGAAGATATGTACTTTAATTTGAAATTTGTTTCAGAAAAGACACTATAGTATTAGAGGATATGTACTTTAATTTGCAATCAGCTAATAGGTTTCAAAGAAGACAGTGTAGTCCAATTTAGTTTGCAATCAACAAAATAGATTCAGAGACGAAATACAACTACAGCAGTACTAAATACTAAAGTGGTCTGCAAGGTATTGCCATTGTTGTACATCCACAGCATGCACATAATGCTATATTTTCAGAGACATGCACAGCCCACAAAAAATCATATATGCATGATTACCCTGAGTTTCACGTCTCTGTTTGAAAGGCTCAAAATTTTGGTAGCATGAGCTGAAATTAAAACAATATTTTCTTATACACATTTTCCCTGGACAGTTAATTGTGTAGTACATACAGCTGAAGGGAGGAACTCAACTGACACACATCGTGGTACTTTCTGGGGGTACAAATTCACTACCAATGAGAATTTCTCAATTATTTCCTCCAAAAAAGTCACACATCCTGGTACTTTTTGGGGGTACAAATTAACTAAAATGAGAATTTCTCAATTATTTCCTTTCAAAAGGTCACACATCCTGGTACTTTCTGGGAGTACAAATTCACTACCAATGAGAATTTCTCAATTATTTCTTTTCAAAAGGTCACACATCCTGGTACTTTCTGGGGGTACAAATTCAGTACCAATGAGAATTTCTCAATTATTTCCTTTCAAAAGGTCACACATCCTGGTACTTTCTGGGGGGTACCAATTCACTAGCAACAAGAAGTTACCTTCCCACAAAAATGCAAGAAGTTTAAATGAAGTTCAAAAACAGTTAAACATCACAAATACTCACACCAGGAACCAAAGGGGCCTTAAGAAGTAAAACATGCGGTCTATTGGCTAATAATCACTGAGATCATTATTTTCTATCTTTGACTTTGCTATAGTTTTTCAATATTGCATATACATGTACGGTATTGTAAGCTCTTCATTTGGCCATGTAGATAAAAATTGAATTGTACGGTTATCAGATTATTTTTTATACAGAAATGTTTGGTAATAAATTTAAGACGGCATATATTAATATTGCAAATATCATTTCAGTAAATTAATAGATTAATTAATTCACAGTAGTACTAATGACGAATTTGTTTTAAGAGCATCTATAACAACATACACATATAGAAATCATTGTTTTCTGGTATGTGGTTCAAAAAGATAATTATTCAATTATTCAATAACAAGTGGATGTTTTTGTTGGGTGATTATACTTTTAAGGTGGCTAAATTAAGATTCTGTCAAATTCGCTGAAATGACATGACATGTAGTTATTTCACTGTTCTACAGTAATTGATTTGGGATTTGTAGCTAGCGAGACAAGTCGTGTATAGTGAAGGATTCGGTGAAGAGACTTTCATGTACAAGAATTAAAATAACATTTCTCAACCGTCTGAATAAGTAGTAATTAGTTGTCAATCAAATAGTGATGAATTTTATTTTAATAATAAAAAAAATTGGGCATTTGTCTCGATTTGATCTATCTGGCAAGCTTATATATATTGCACAAAACTATGATACGTGGTCAGTTATCCAATCAAAGAGAGGAATTTATGTAACAGTTCATTTAAAACATTCATATATGGTGAAGACCTCGTAATTGACCTTCTAACAACACGTGTCTCATGCATAGTAGAAACTTCTCAATTTTATGTGAGGATGCTTTCTACCTGCATTTACTCAATCTAGGCATTGCCTTAAAGAATTATTTTTCCTGCCACAGTTCCGGTTATGTCCTGAGATTTAAAAAAAAATAACTATTACCATAGCCAATGTTCTCTAATCTGAGTCATGGTGAGGCAGTGATTAAACCTATAATAATCAAAACGTTAAGTTTCACAACACGTTTTAATTTCTTTTTAATTTTTTTTGCATATGATTTTTTTTTGTTAATGCATACTAATTTAGATAGAGAACTAAAAAAAAAACTAAATTTTAAAAACTGCTATGATCAGATAAAAATTAAAAGAATATTTGTTTAATAATTAACAATTGAATGAGGAGTTCAAATTAATAAATACTATGAATTAATTGAGGTTTATGGTATATTGCATCTTAATTTTGCAATACAATAATACAACAATTGCAAAATTACAAATTTATAAAATAATAAAAACAAAATCAATAAGAGTTACTATCACTAGATGGCAGTCATTATGGCTGTACATGTTAACACTTAATACTTCAAAAACTGTATTATAAGCTGCGTCTATTAAAAATGGTACATAGCAACAGAAAGGATGTGGCTTCTATTAGAGCATCTACACATGAGAAATTTTTGGTTCTCAATTGTTCAAAGAAGTGGGTGTGGCTTCTATTAGAAATGCAGCCATTAATACAACTTTTATGGTAATAGTAGTATGGTAATAAAACTCCAAAAGATATTAGATGTGTTTTCAAAATACATCTGATAATTTGGAAAATTACTTTTATGATTGCCATCCATTTGAATGTTGAGGGCTATATATACCTGGTATATATGTATAAATATATTTCATTTTGATCTTTATTGGACTTCACTGGATGCGATGAATGACATGATAAGGTGATGATAGTGTACACAGTGTGATAAAAACAAAAGCAACTTCACATATCAACACTAAAGGGCAGTCACACACCTAGATCATTTTCTTCATCACTGACATCACCTTTCAAAGTTCCATGGAATCAAGTGACTGTCTTTTCCTTTTTCCTTTGAGTGGATCAATTAGTACACCACAGCAAAGAACAACAAATAATATCATCACAAATATAAGAGCTATACCAGCAATTATACTCCCTGCAATAAAAAATAAAAATAAGCCAATTCAGGCCTTTTGGTCAACAGTTTTTGCTAAAAAAAACAAATGACATTTCTTTTGGGAGTGAGGAAATAAAGTGTTATTTCCATATTGATTTGTGCATTTTTGGACAGTGTACTACATTTGGGAAAATTAGGTGTTGGCGTATAAATTAAAACACTCCATCAGAAAATGTATTTCATCTTGAATTCTTCCACAATAGTCTGAGTACTTGTCCACATAGTCAAAAAAGAAGGTAATGTTTATGTTGGTCAATTGAGGGTGCTATCACTAGCTGACCTCTGGTTCAGAAGCACTCACAGAAGAGGAAGTTTGCCTTCAGCACACTTGAATTTGCATAATAATAGCCATGCCAGGGTTTTAGGTATGCAAATATTTAAACACCTTCTGTGCTGAGAGTGGGGCAGAAGGCCAGATAAGGAATGTATTACCCATAATTCCCTGGGTGAACACATTTGTTTTCAAATAGTCAAGCATTCTGGAATTACGTACATATTGCAAAACTTGTCGGCGGGGGGGGGGGGGGGATAAGACATTCAATATAAAGTTAGCAATCGGTCAGAATGTTTTTAATTTATCTCCCACATCCTTTTGTTTTTTACATTTTTAAGTTAAAGAAATGGACAGTCAAATGCTTCACACAAGGTGATATCATGGCGATGCACTCCACCAGGATCTACATCATATTACAAGAAATAAATTGGATTTTCAAGCCTCAAGTGACTTTTCATGCTTTCCATAAATTTAACTTCATGTTTATTGTGTCTCAGTTGATCTTGTAGAATAACACAGACCAATACATCAAGGCCTGGGATGGCAATTGTGATTAAACACCATTTTAACATATTTGCAAACCATAAAAAATTTTTATCAAAAGTAGACAGGCATAAATACGATTCAGGATAACTGCACATATATTGTCATACCATATGAGTACAAAACTAACAGACAGATCTGTATGGTTTATTTTAGAAAAAGTTTCATTTCACTTCTCCCGCTAAAAACAGTACTATACAGCATTGCAGGGGTCTAAGCATATGCAGTTTATTCAAACTTATTCACTCATGTGGTCAAGATCAGTCAGAAATGAATTTGTGTGTATAATGCATCTGTAGGAATTAGATATGCACAATCTATTGTTCACACAAGTCTCTCCTGAAAATTCAGCATTCTGAAGACAATCTTCAAGTGTTTTTTTGGGAAAAAACTTGGCAGGAAAATGTCACATGGCTGCTAAACTTTTTATTGGTGAAATAGGTTGTGCACTTAGCAATGATGCTACAACAACAAAATTAAGTATGCCTATCAGAAAAAGTCAAAAATTGGAACTTCCTGTTTAACAATTCAAGATGGCTGCCAAATTAGTTGACCAATCAAAATTGTTTTTGACAAAACATTAGATGAAGAATAGATTTCTAGGAAATGGATACATGCATATTTAATCGCGCCCATGACCAGCAATAACTTTTTTCCAAATCTCTTCACCTATGTATACAACACCCTGTTAGTAGTAAATATGCATCTGTTCGGTCCACGTCTTTAACGCATTACACAAGATCTCGTAGTGAAAGAGAAATCATGTATATTGTACATTCTCCACACATACCTATATTGAAATGCAGATCCCAGTAATCTATTATTGTACCATGTGAGTGAGGATGGATACCAGTCTCACCACCACATTCCTCAGTCCATTCTTCTTCAGTTAGCCTCACCTTTGAGCTTAATTTTAAAAAATCCTCAAGAGGACAGCTTTTATCACAGCCTGTTATTTGTAATTGATAAGGCTCCCTTTGTGTGTTGTTATAGTAATATACATCAATTGTATAAGTCCTGTAAAAATAAAGATAAGCTCTTTTAAATAAAGAAGATTTGAAAGATTTACTATTATGTTCATAATTATTCTTTTGGTATATCATTTCTGACAAGACAATCAACACAAACACATCTATATATAGTTCCTGAAAAGAAAATTAACTGACGATGAGACTCTGTGCTACTTTGTAATCTGTACTTTCTGAATTAAGCTTTGGTGTGTTTTATAACTGTAGAACAGAACACATATACCTTCC